CCCGCAGCGTGGCACCCACCAGTGGCAGTACCTGGGGGGGGGGTCCAGGGTCAAAGCTGGGGGGCAGCAAAGGGAATGCCCCCCCCGACAGCAGGAGCTTGCTCCCAGCGGGATGGGTGTCCCAGCACACCCATGGGTGCTACCAGGATGGGGCTGCACTAATTACAGCCCCCCCCACACCCCTTTGCACCCACATGTCCATGTCCCCGGGGGGGGGGGGAACGGACACTGGCTCTTGTCCCCCTCACACCCCCAGGACAGCAAGGTGTTGGGGGGGCTGTCTGCAGGTCCCCCCCTCCATGGGTGCTGGCAGGACGGAGGGGGGCACATCCAGCCCCATGGGAGCACTGGGACGGGTGTGGGTTGGGGGGGGCTGTGAAGGGGGGGAGACAGTGGGGAGAGGGGTGACCCCCCCGACACACGTCCCGGCCATAAGAAGCTGCGGCTTTGCTACAGTGTTTCACTTTGGTACCAAGAAAAATAATTAAAAATTAAATAAAACCCATCAAGTGACCGCTATTGCTGCTGGGAGGTGGGTGCTGCAGCACCCCGGGGCCGGCACCCGTGGGAGTCAGCGTCCCCGGGGGCACCCAGCCCCCTCCACCCCCTGCTCCAGCGAGGGACTGGGACGGGACTGGGACAAGGAAGGTGCTGGACGGAGGGTGCGAACTCAGCAGAGGGGCTAACAAGCCGCTAGGAACCGACCCTCTCAAAATCACAAAGAGCTATAGTCTAACCAGGGAAGAAAATCCACCCCCTAATATACCAGACGTGAAGAGATTTATTTCTTTTCTTTTCTTTTTAAATATTTATATATATATTTATATTACGTATATTATATATATATAATATGTAAATATATTTTTTAAAACAATATAAAATGTTAAGACACTTCACTTAAATGTAAAGAGTTGCTTTTTGCAATCCAAAGAAATTGCATCATGATTTTTTTTTTGTTTTTTTTTTTTGTTTGTTTTTTTTTCTGTTTGTTATTCAAAAAAGGCTCGTTCTTCTGTACAAAAATGATTGATATACAAAAAAAGAAAGGGGGGGAAAAGAAGAAAAATAATAATAATTAAAAAAAAAACAACCCAAGGACAAACTAGCCAACAAAAGGAGTGATTCGATCTCGTGTTGCACTGCGGCTGGGCTGCGCTGGCGGCAGCGCTGGGTACGGGCGCACGCAGCGCACACGCACGCACACCCCGTGCACACCCGGTGCACACCCGGTGCACACCCGGCTTGGCTGTGCTGTTGGGTGCTGGACACGGGCAAGCCATCGCCTGCCCTGCACCCTGGGGACCCCCCAACCCCAGGTCCCCCCCAGGTTGGGGGTCCAGGGAAGGACCGTGGGGTCACCAGTTGCGGCCTGGGGTCCCCGTCCGGCACCTCTGCCGGAGCGGGCGGCTCCAGGGACCCATCCTGCCTGCCTGTCCCCAGGGGCGTTTGGCGCTCGGGAGGGGGACGGAGGTCTGGCAGGGTGTCCCCGCGCGGTTGGAGCCCCCCCCCCCAAGCATCACAGCATCCCTCTGCCCCAGCCATCGTGCCCACCCGGGCGACCATTTAAAGTGCTATGTTCCAACCCGAGGGGGAGGACGGGCACCCCGACTCGACCCGTTTCCACCTGCCCCCCTCCCCTATTTTACTTCCTCAGCCTTCGGCCCCTCCGGCACGCCCGCGCACCCCGCGGCACCTCTCCCCGCTCCCCCTTCCCCAACCCTCGCACCGTCCCCCCGGGAACGCCGGGGCTGGCGGGGTGCTGCCCGTCACCCATCGCCGCGACCTGGCCGGAGCGCCGAGCATCCTCTCCTCCGGGCGGGTGGGCGTCGCGGATGCCTGGATGCTCGGCGGGGGAACGAGCGGTCGGGTCGGGGGGTGTCGGGGGCTTCTTCGGCAGCCGCCGTTTCCCACTTTTCCGAGGTGGGATGGGTGCTGCCCGCGCGGGCAGCGGGGTCGGGCGCTGCCCGGCTTCCTCCTTGCTTGAAGCTGGTGAAACCGGTGGAGTGAAGCTCTGAGAGCTCTTAAATAAACAGAAAAATGGCGGGGTGGGGGAGGGAGGGAGGGAGAAAAACCAAACCAACAGCAACCCAAACGAACCGAAACGAAAAGGAAAAAAAGAAAAGGAAAAGGGAGGAGAAAGAGAGAGAGAAACAGAAAGTGGCTGGTTGGCCATTGCAGAGCGAGATGGGAGACAGAAGTCGGGCCGTGGCGGAGCAGAGGCGAGACACAAGTCGGGCCGTGGCGGAGCAGAGGCGAGACACGAGGTCGGCCACATTGGAGCAAGACATTGGAAAAAAAAAAACCAGAAAGAGAGGGACGGGTGGCGATCCCTCCAGGTGCCTCAAGAAGACAAGTCCCAGGGAGGAGGAGCCCAAGGAAGAGAAGCCCGGCCCCAGGAGCAGGAGAGCGGTTGGGTGGAGCTGGCAAGGATGCTCAGAATGAGATGGAGGAGTTCCTTGCCCCAAAGGAAGTCAATACGGGGATGGATGTTCTGCCAGATGCGGGTTTTTCTGAGACCGCGGGGGAAGTCTCACTAGCCTCTTTAGATGGTCTAGCGGCCTAGAAAGAAAAGCAAGATTCAAGGAGGAGGAGGAGGAGGAGAAAGGGGAGGAAAGTCAGACAGTTTCTTAAAAAAAAGACAAAAGAAAGGAAAAAAAAAAAAAAAAGGAACGTGGGGGAAAAAAAACAAACCAAACAACCAAGAACCAAACAGGAGTTTGTTCAGAAGCAGCATTGAGTTAGGCCTGAGGTCAAGCAGCTGGAAAAGGTCCACCACAAACAGAGCACGAGATGAGCTGGTCCCACGCGTTACTGGATGGGAAGGGGACGTCCCCGAGAGGAGGAGGAGGAGGAGGAGAGAGACGAGAGAGAGAGAGAGAGAGAGACACAGACGGACAGACGGACATGTGGACAGACAGGCACACACAGAGGCGGGCGGGCGGAGGGGAGAGGGGAGAAAGGCAGGGAGGGGGGACAAGAAGGGCAGCGTTAGACCGGGCGCGCACGCCGCGCGGCACAGCGCCCAGCTCTGCCGGTTGGCGCCGGGGCTGCCGCCAAGGTGCCGTTCAGCCGAGCAGGGCAGAGCTTCGGCAGCCCCCACGCCAGCCCCGGCTCCTCCGAGAGGTGACGGTGCCCACCCCGGTCCCCTACGCCCACCGTGCTGGTGTCATCACCACCAGCAGTGATGTGACCCAACCCTGCTCATGCAAAAGCTGGTCCAAAGGGAGCTGGGATGCTGGGAAGGAAGGATGCTCATAAACCTTCCCGGAATGGGGAGAGGGCTCCTCCAGTCCTCCCCTCGCCCCCGTCACAGGGAGGTGGGCTGCTGGGTGGGGGCACGGCCAAATCTTGCCCAGGGAGGGCAGCGAGGGCAAAGAAGCAGCAGAAAATTCCTGGTCCGGCCACCCCAGCGCGGGCACCGGTGGGTGCCAGGGGCCGGGTGACCGATGCTGCCACAGGGTGCCCCGAGGTGGAGGCGAGGAGGAGCACGGCGACACTGGGCAGCGGGGACTGTGCTGGTGTGTGGCCTCCGGGGAAGGGGACTTGGTGGCCTCCCTGGGGTCCCCGGGACCAGGAGATGCTTCCCGGCCCCTCAGGGCTCCCAGCACAGCCCTTTCGGCCAGTGTTTCTCTGCTCCCCAGCCCATGGGGCAGCCCTGGACAGGGGGCAGAGGGACACCCCCCCCCGTCTCTCCCTGATTCTGCAGGGGTGTGAAAACCCACATGCACGTGCGTATGCTGGAGGGGGCTGGCAGGGAGACCCCAACCTCGAGGATGGACCCTGCCCGGGGACATCTCGCCACTGCCCTGAGACCATCTCAGTTGCGGTCACGACAAACAGCACCTGTGTGGCTCCGACCCGGTGCCAAAGCAGCCAAAGGGGGGGGGGTCTGAGCCCTCTTGCCGGAGCCAGAGGGGGGAATGAGGTGCCCATTTTGCTCATGCGACATTTGCCCAAATTGCATCAAATCCCCCCCCAACCCAGCTACAGCTCCAGGGAGCTGGGAAAAACCTCCAGTTTATCCAACAGGGTTTACGGATCCAACAGAATGAGCAAAATCGGGTTTATTGGGTGGTTTGTTAACGCCAGGCCCAGGGAAGGGGATCGAGACACAGAGCGGGGAGCAGGGAGGAGAGGATGGGGTGAACCCCCTCGTGGTCCTGCTGCCCACCGGGGGGGCAGGAGACAGGAGGGGAGGGCTGGGAGGGGAGAGAGGAGAGGCGACAGGGGGTGTTGAGGGCAAGGAACTGGCTGTGGTTACCTTGCCTGTGGCCTGAGCAAGCTGGAGAGCCACTGCCAGCACTGGGGTGTCAGCAAGAACAGAGGGGAGCAAGCCCCACCGCCCACGGCAGGAGTGGTCCCCAGGGATGGGAGAGGGGTGGGTGCTGGGCCAGGGTGGGGGGCACACCATCCCATCCCAAAGCGCTCCTCTTCCAGCTGCTGTGGCCCCCCCACCCTCTCCCCATGCTGCCGGGTGCCCCGGTACCATCACCCTGCCCTGCTCCAGGGATGAGCTGCTTTTGCGGACACGTCATCACAGTGCATGGAGGGTCCTGGCTCTCTGAAACCTCCCAGGAGAGGTTGGGCAGCCCCAGCCCCGGGTAAGCAAAGCCCCTTGGAGCCCCTGTGCCAAGCACGTGGCTCTGCAGCGCTCATCGCCATGGCCAAGATGTTCTGCAAGGAGGTCTCGAGGTCCCTCAGGGTGAGGGGACCAATGCTGGGGCTCAGCCCTGTCCATCTAGCACAAAGGGCTGGGGGACAAATGACTCCAGCTTCAGCCTCACACCACACTGGTAATGAGTTTGCCACTCTCAGCACAAAGTTGTGTCCCTGTCTCCAGCAGCCAGCTATGGAAACCACCATGCTGGGCACAAACCGGGGCGAGAGCCCGTCCTGTGCTCTGACAGCCAGGTCCCTGCATCCCCAGCCCCACCAGGCTCAGCCAAGACGATGAGAGACACCGAGAGCGCCCAGTCCCCGAAAGCAGCACCCACAGGGTGCCCTCCATCCACACCCTCACCCCATACAAGGTAGCGAGGAAGATGCCGAGGCCATGGGCAGTCTACGGCTCACCCTGCTACCAGGAGAGCCGGCCAGAATGGTGCTAGAGATAGACTACCTGCTGCTGGCCCTGGATCCGCATGTACTCCATCCGCTGCTTTATGTGCTTGCTTTTGTCGGGGCTGCCCTGCTGGCTCTGCTTCAGCCGGGATGCCGGGTTCACCACCTTCATGGCTGGGATGGAAACGCCACCGCTCTGTCGGGACAGAGAATTTGGGGAAAGAGATGTTAAAACCGGCAAGTGGAAGCCCCTACCGGCACCGTTGGCAGCTGGGCACTGCCAGCGCCGGGCTTTGGATGGCTGGAGCTGTGCCGAGCCTCCGCGGCACCACTGTGCCATCCCTGCCCGGATGGCCCACGGTGGCAAACCCAGGGACACCGGCTCCATGTGCAAAGGAGCCCTCACATTGAGCAGCGCTTTGGTGAGCTCAGAAACCAGCCAGGACTTACCGACAGCCACCGCTGCAACGCAAAGAGGGAGTTAGGGGCAGACACGGCAAACACCGGGAGACCGAGGGCAGGAGGAGAGCATCCCCGCCGGGGCAGGGGTGCACGGCCAAGAAAAAGGAAAAGAGGCGACGGCAGGCAGAAGCAGATTCCAGGTGGAAACGGCGGCAGTGGGAATACAGAGGTTTTTATTAACTAGCTGTGCACAGATGGAGATACAAAGAGTTGCAAAAGCAGCAGCGAGGGAAGCGGTACCTGTACGCGTGTCCCCTGGCACTGTGGGTCCCTAAAGCGATGCCCGCACGGGAGCCCGGGCAATGCCACACGCCACAGGCTCGCCATGTGTCCCCCCACTGCCTGGGGCACCCCGGATCCTCTCCCTGCCATCACTGCTGCCTCCTGCCTGCCCCGTGCTGGGCTTGGACCAGCTGCTGCAGGCAGCAAAACTGGCAGTGCCAATGGCGCCCCGGCGACGTGCAATCGCTGCCCAGATTGCACCTCCGACGGGAGAGGGCCAACGGGTTATCGCGGTAGGGCCAGGTTAATAAATCAGCGCAGGCAGAGCTCTCTGCGCTGCCTGTCTTGCCTGCCCTGCTTTGTGATCCTCAGTGGTCCCACGGATGGGACACGGGGACTCCTGTACCCCACAGGACAACAAAATCCAGTTCCTGCTTGCGCCACACCTTCCCCAGTGCCCCAGCATCCCTGGCACGAGCAGGCACTGGATCTCAGCCTTCACAACCAACTCGCAGCATCCTTGAAAGGTGGCACAAGACCTACCCTCTCCCACTCTGCTTTCGGGACTGACTATGCCAGCCCCGACTGCGCAGCCTCTCCTGCCAAACCCTGAGCTGAGCTTTGCTTTGTGCCTACCCGTGCCAGCCACGGCCATAAATCCATCCCGCAACTCTGGTTCTAGTTTGCCTGGCTCCGGCGGTGCAGGGGGAGCTGACAACAGGAGAAATTGCAGCTACACCCGGTTGACGGCCCATTCACCCAGCGAGAGCACCACAACGGGGCCGCAGTGTAGCCGAGAACCGGGGCTGAGATAATTGCTGCAAATGAAAAAGGAGATTTATTCCCCAGCGCTGACTGTTAATAAAGGAGCAGGCTGACGTCGGAGCGGCTCAGGGTGTTTTCCCCCCTCTTTTTCCCAGCTATTCAGCCAACCGAGCGGCTGCTGCGGATTCCAGCAGAAACCAATTTGGATGGCTTCAGGGAGCCCGCGCTGTGATTTAATTAGGAGAAACAGCTGCCATGCTCAAACTGCAGTTCATTAGAAAAGTGCTTATGCAAAACAAGGGATGCTGCTTCATCACCCAGTGCACCCAGCCCTTGCCGGCCCCATGGGATGCTCATCACCAGCCCCGTGCTCCTCACCAGCGGAGCGCTCAACCCCAAAACCTGCCAGGGCAGAAGATACCAGGTAGCTGTGGTCTAATTTGGTGCTATGCACAGCAAGGGATGGGCACCCAGTGGCACCGGCACCAGTTCTGCTGCCTGCAGTCTCAATCCTGTGTGCCTGCACTTCCCAAACCCGTTCAAGTGACAGGGAGAAAAGGAGATTCGTTTTCCACCTTGGCTCTGCCTGGAGGTAGAGTCACAGAGAGGGAGCAGGTAGAGGTGGAGGAAGAGAGACATCAGAGTGAGTCCAGGGCAGAGCACAGCAAGAGGGATAACAGAAAATAAACCTGCGGAGTGTCGAGGGGGAGCTGCGGCTTGGGTAGCAGAGGTGGCTTGGTCTTGCTTGGAGATAGACTCTCGGGAGCATCGTCTTTGGTCTGACTGAGGTCCAGGGCAGTCTCATCATCACAGCTCCTGCATTTGAGATCCCCCAGACCTTCCTTGGTCTCCCCGCTGGCATCCTTGGATCCCGCTTGTCCTAGCGGTTCTTTAGGGAATACAAATTCAACCGAGGGATGGCTGCTGATCTCACTGATGGTTATCTCCAGCTCACGGATAGTTTCTTCCAGGCTATCCAGTCTCTGGTACGTGCCTTCGTAAATCTCCTTGCTGCGAGCAGTCATGGAGCGGTGAGGGGACAACTGCCCTTTGCAGAGCCCCTCCGCCGCCTTCCCCCCCGCCCCGGTGTCCTCCGTGCCACCTTTGCCGCCGGCAGCCGGAGCCGTGCCACCCCGGCCCTGCGATGCTGCGCAATGGCTTGGCCCTGAGAAAGCAGCGACCTGCTCCTGGAGACGCTCAGCCCGGGACTGTCCGCTTCCCTGCGGGGCTGGATCCCTGCCTGGGAAAGCTCTGGGATTTGGCACTGGGCAGGCTGGGGCTGGTGAGGTGTCCTCCCTTCGTGCTCGTTTGCAAACCCCAGCAGAGTCTCCAGGAGGGAGAGATGCCTCCCGCACGCTCTGCCTGGCTCCTCCTTGGGGGTCCCCATCACCGGGAAACTGGGGGATGGCGCCGGACCCTCTGTTGCCTGCACCGGTGGAGGGGACCGCTGCCTCTCCAGCTCCGGGACCCCGGGGACGAGGAGGCTGTGCAGCCAAGAGACTTTGGTGAGAAGCCTTGCTGCTGCCTTCTTGCCTGCCGGCAGCGTTCAGAGCAGCATTCCCTCCTTCTCCCCGCGCGGGACAGCTCGTTTTATGCTTTGAGAGAGACGGGACCTTGCTGGCTGCTAGAGGGAACCTCCACATCTCTCCGGTTGCATGGGCATGGCCCCGAGATGGGCTGCTCGGGGGCCGCGGGGCTGAGGCTGGAGGGTACCCAGGTGCGGATGGAGACTTTTTGGAGATGCCAGGAGAAACACAGCATTTCCTTCCCCCCTCGGGTGTAAGCTCCCCTCCTGCTCCTCCGCTGCCGGCCAGGTCCCCGTGCTCCGAGCAGCCCTTTTCCACCCACACCTCCAGTTCGGCTTCAGGGGACGGCGGTTCGGACACCCACTCGGTGAGCACAATCTGCGGGAGGGAGAAAGCCCTGCTCCCCGGGGCTGCCAGGGCCAACGGCTCCTAGGTAGAGAATTCAGACAGATTAAGAGCCGGGAGAGAGCGGGAGCTGCCGGGGAGCACTGCGTGTCCACACACACTACTTGGGTCCCCCATTGCTGGTGTCTCTGGGCATCGTAGTGCTGCAGGGAGGTGTTTGGCCATGAAGGGAGATGCTCGGCTCCCTCCTGCCCAGCCCTGACATCCCATCGGTACCCACAGCATGGACAGGGACTGGTTTTCTACTGTGCTTAAGGCAACCTGGGTCTGTGAGATTTTGGCAATAACTTGCCTGGAGTTTTTAGCAAAAATGAGTCGGTGTTGCTGCACCTCCCGCACGCCTTTGGAAACTCGACTGCCGCAGCCCGGCTCGGATTTCTCCCATGCTGGTATAAACTGGCACGGCACTGGTGCAAGAGCAGAGCCCAGCCCTCGCGGGCTGCTTGGCCCCACAGGACACCGCTGCTCCCAGCAGAGCGGAAGGCAGGGGACGAGCCGTCGCAAATGAGGTGCCAAGGGGCACCAGCCCTTTAAAACCCCAAGTAGCAAGAAGTCACCTAGAAAAATGCTGTCCTTCCTCCCCCACCTCTCTGTTCTTGTCCCAAGGGAGATGCAAGGAGCCGTGCAATGCCTGGGGGACTAGAGCCAGCCGTGCCCTCGGAAGGCGAGCTGGAGAGATGCTCTGGCAGAAGAGGTGCCCCCCCTGCAGCTGCAGCCATCCCTGCCCTGGCCGGGGGGGCTGCCACCTTCGCAGGGGCTCCGCATGCAACCGGCACCGGCACCGTGGCCTCACAGCAGAGCAAGGTAGTACAGCAGTTTCTCCATGCTGCCGGGTGACGCAGGATGGGCAGAGACGATGTCTACCCTGGCTTGATGTGTCTTACTCGTGTCCCAGCCCTGGGGGTCTGAGTAGCACCCAGGGCAGAGAGGGAAGGAGGCACGAGTGCTGGGATGGCTACCGAGCTCTGGGTCCAGAGCTGGACCCATTCAAGCTCTGGGGAGAGGGGTCCTTGCCCGCAAGGAGAGGAGATGCTGTTCTGGGGCAGCCGTGGTTGAGTCAGCCCTGGTGCCGGGTCTCCCAGGAGAGGGGAGGGACCCAGCGGGACCCCTGCAATGTACCCAGACCCCCACCAGAGCTCACCTCAACTAGGCACTTTCTGGTGAGGGGCTCAGCAGCACCCTCTGTCCTGCTCTTTGCCCCCTTGTTCTCCCATCCTGGGCATCCCCCCCACTCCATCCCATCCACTCTCCGGGCACTTTTCTTTCCTCCTGCTCTCTCCACCCCAGATCCCAAGGGAGGATGGAGGGCAGGAGGGCCAGGAGGGAGCCGGGCTGTGTCCGCTCAGCAGCCAGGAGGGGTGATGGGCACAAGCCAAAGTGGGTCCCAGCAGCCGCTGGCCTCCAGTCCAGCCCTTCCTTCACCTTCCACCTGCATCATGCACATGGAGTAGGGTCTCCCTGCGCAGGGCACAACATGCATCCCCCACCACAGCCCCCTTCCAGTGACACCCACCCCAGGCACCCAGTGCAGCATGAGAGCGGTGAGCCCTCCCCGTGCCCTGCCCGGTGTGGTGCTGGGGTGGCCCCTTCCTTCCTCCCATCCATGTAGCTGCAGGATCTGGCCCTGACGGGAGCTGCAGCAGCCCCGTGCTGCTGTTGCATGGGTTAGTGCTCGGTCCTGTGCCATGTCAGTGCCGTACACGCAGTGGCGGTGAGCAAGGGAGTGGAGAGAAGCCATTAGTTTGTTAAATCAGAGAAAGAAGCAGAAGTGAGTTAAAAAGAGGCGGGAGAGGAGGTGGTTAAAGTGCAGCCCGTCGGCAGGAGAAGGGATCGTCGCTCGGAGCGAGCTGTTACCTTCCATCCTTCGGCTGCAATGGAGGCTCCGTTGGGCCACATGTCTGCGTGCCCAGGGGAGACGGCAGCCGTGAGCGGATCGTAACGGAGCTTGGGAAGGAAAGGGGAGGCAGAGCTTCTCTGAAACACCTGGGGAGTCAAACACGGGGGGTTGGAGGAGGGAGGCTTGAGGGTAATGACGACGCAGCCCATGCTTGCAGGGATGCTTGGCAGGGTTACGCCAGGACCAGGGCTTGGCAGTCGTCGGCAGCGAGCGAAACATCAGCTGTTCTCATCAGCCGCGGAGACACCCCCGTCCCTCTGCTGCCAGCAACATCGCCAGTCCCGCTGCCTGCAGCATCACTGGTTCCCCTGCCTCCTGGGGGAAACCCAGCCGACAAAAAGCCATCCACTACCCGCTTGGGCACCTTGCCCGTAGCAAACGGGGGGAGGATGTGGGGCACAGCCAGCCTGGGGGAGCTCAGAGCCTGAGGATGGCATCTCAGGTGGGATCTCTGCAGGGTGCCCTGTGCACAAAACCCAGCAAACCTCCAGCTGAAGCTGCGTAGTGTTAAAAAACAGAGTTTGGTTTAAAGCCCAAGGTGGGGTGGAAGTGCTGAAGAGAGGCACGCAGCACCCAAACCCAGCGAGGGGTCCGGCAGGGTGCAACTGCTCCGTGCTGCCCATCCCTGCGGCATCGCACTCCTGCTGGGATACAGGCGAGGAGGGGGAAGCCCACTCCTGTGCCGACGTGTGGGATGTCATTCCCCGGACCCAATCCCAAGGTATTCCCTGCAGTTGCCCGGAGCTGGGCACAGCCACGCGTGAGCAGACAGGGCAGGGTGGGCATCGCCTCCAGTGCGGGTAAACTGGGGCATCCCGCAGCCCCTCCCGCGCTCACCTCCAGCTCCGCAATGATGCGGTCCTCGTCGTCGTCGTCTTTGATGGCAGACGCAATGATGGGAGGGGTGGACGCTGGCCTGACCACCTCTGACACCGTCCGTCTCAGCTTCACCTGGGGCTTCTGGGTCTCCAGCTCCTCCGACTCGGCCTTCTGCAAAGCGGGGAGCAGGGCGGTGAGGGGTGGGGGGCACCAGGAGCCGGGGCTGGTCTTGCCGACAGTGACCGGCTCAGTCCAGCCCAGCAGCCATCCCACGGCCCCGCTCCCTACCTTCATAAAACCAGGCTCCTTCTTGCTGGTGACGATGACTTCGCCGCTGCGGGTTGTGGTCAGCCCATGGGACGAGGGGAAGCTCCGGCGTGGAGGGGGAGGTGGCGGCGATTTGGAGGGTTTCTCCGTCCGGTACCGTGGAACCGTCAGTTCGTCTGGGCACAAACGATGCTGTGAGGGCACGAGACCTTTCCCTGCCCCTCTAATACAACACCCCGAGGGTCTCCTGCTGCCTCCCCGGGCATAAACCTCCCTTCGGGGCAGAAAACGGCTCAGCCCGGGGAGACCCACTGGTGATGGCACGGCCAGGGGACACGCAGGATCACGCACCCCCCCCAGCCCCAGGATCCGGAGGTGGACCCCAGCCCTCCCCACACCGTACCTGATCCCCTGCGGCCGTTGGGGTCCCCCTTGCCCCCCGACTTCGGTGCGTGCTGCGGCTTGGAGGGTTTGTGCTCAGGCGTGGAGGCAGCGCTACCGCTGCCCGTGGCTTGCTTGTGCTTGGCAGCGAACTCCAGGTCAGGGATGGCCTTCATCAGCTCGGCTTGCGTCTCCTCCAGGAGACGGTTGATGTCCTTGGCGCTGTACTGGGTCAGCGCTGCCCGCTTCTCCTCCCAGTCCCGCTCGGCAGCCTGCAGACGGCAGGCAGAGCCCGCTGCAGCCCCCAGCCATGCAGCAGCTTCTCCTGCCCTTGCAGGCAGGAGGTGACCCGCAGCTCTGCTTGCCACCCCCCCCCCAACCTGCTGTCGAGCCCGGGAGGGGTTGGCAGGGGGGGCCACCGCTGCCCCCATCCCCAAGCCGCACACCCCTCAGAGTAAAATCGGGGGTGCTCCCAAGGCTGCATCGCCTGGGGCTCCCCACTCTCCAGACACCCCAATGGCTACAAACCCAGCAAGGAGGAGGATGGACCCAGTTCCTGTCCCCAGTTTTAGCTGGGAGACATAAGGATAGACTCTCTAGAAGAGGCCCCCAAACCCCCCCCAGCTGAGGAACCCACCGCAGGCTCTCACCTCCACAGATACAGCTTTGTCCGCACTCTTCTTGCTGGGGGTCTCCGGCCCCGTCTGGGTCTTGGCGGGTACCATCTCTGGAGCTCGGGAAGGGTTATTGCTCTTGGAGGGATGGGTCTGGGTTTGGGGGGGGCTGTGCCCAAAGCTGGGCATGGCCAGGGTCTCGGTGACAGCCGTCAGGTGGTGGAGGTTCACTGGGGGGCTGGTGGGCATCTCCAAATCCAGCCCTTTGCTGAAGTCGGTCTCAGGGGCCACTTTCTTGGGGGACTGGCTGAGGTTGCTGGGGGAGGTCCACACGCCCTCGTCCACTTGCCTGCCAGGGACAGAGCGAAGGTGCTGGGGTGGCTGCACAGTACGGGGTGGGGGGGTTACTGCACCCTTTCCAAGCCACGCCACAAAAAAAACTTGCTCTCCTGCAACTCTGCGTTACGTGGCTGAAGGTTTAGGTTCTCTGATGTCTAGGAAGGGGTTGGAGTTGATGCTACAGCCTCTCTTGGGGGAGCACACGAATGAGCTCCTCTACCTGGCTGTCCCCTTTCATGAACCTCGTAGGAAATCGGATCTCTCCAAATCCTGCCCCTCCGTCAGATCTGGCTGAAACTGCCCTTGGGATTCAGGAGTTATTAGGGCTGGGGAATGACAGGTAGGCAGATTCAGACACTGCATGATCTTATAAGCTCATTTCTGTAGAAAACCAGGCTAGCAATGAGCCCGAGGCGAGCCCGGTGCCGGAGCGCTCCTCCTGCAGCGTGGCCGAGCTGTAAGCCATCCTGAAAGGTCTCGTAATGGGAAGAGGCAGGTAGGCTCAGCCACGGTGCACGGCCCAGCCTGCCACTATCATTAGATCTGGAAGATGATTTTTCTCCAGCAGAACATTTTTCTGCTCCTCGGGAAAGAGATTTCCGATCACGCTAAGGGTTGCCTTTCTATCTGGAGATACGACCGCGCTTTTTTCAAGGTGATAAGGAAAAGTCAGTTTAAAAAGAGGGGTTCTCACATACACACCGGAAAGGACCGAGGGCACTTTTTAATTCCTTAGCAGAAAAATGAGCCTTTTTTTCAGCAGCCCTTAGGATTTGGATTTGTGACACGGAGAGGATACCGGCACACACGGGGGGGGGCACAGGGACAACTGAAGAGACCGGCTGTGTCTTCCAAGGTGCTCAAGAGGCCGGAGTTGGGGCTTGGTGCTCACCTGCGGATCTGGGCGAGGGTGTCCGTCACCGTCTTGCAGCGTTTGAGCAGACCGTCGAGGCGGTTCGGCTCCTCCTTGAGGAATTTGACTGCTTCCACCTCCACCCGCAGCACCACCCGCATCTTGCTCTGCAGGCTGGGGAACTGGGCTGGGGTGGGAGAGTGGGGGGGGTCATCAGGGCCCCGTCGTGCCGGGGACCCTCTCCCGGTGCCCGGCTGGCAGTGCCAGGGCACCCCACAGCCACCAAAACCACCACGGCCATCATATCCACGGCAAGACATCCTTGATATGGATATGATATCCATGGCCATCATATCCACCTTGCCAGACGGAAGGGGATGAATCCTGGGAAGCCTGGGCTGGTGTCCCTCCTGCTGCCCGTGCCCATCATCCCTTTTCCATCCACCTGCAGGCACTGATTTTAGCCCCTGAAGGTGCCCCCTCCACATCCATGGGCACCAAACACTGCTCTGGAGCTGGGGGCTTGGTACCAAGGATCCCGGGGACTCGGTGGCAGGGGCTGATGCGGAGCAGTTTGCTCCTGGCTCCCTGCCTGGTGCTCTGCTTGCCATCCCGGCTGCTCAGCATCAGTCTGACTTTATGGAAAGGCTGCAGGAAAGCGGAGCAGCTCCTACCTCTGCCCTGTGCCCCCCAGCCCTCCCCACACTCCCCCCTTCCCCGTAACCCCCGCTTCTTGCAACCTCAGCAACTGCTGCCAAATCATCGTTTACTGTCTGCCTTGGCTCTGGCAGGCAGGAGCTCTGCCACTTTGAATCGAGGTGCTGGGCATCTGTTTGCAAAAGGCAGGATGGGGACAGCCCAGGGACGGCAGGCTGCAGGAGCCAGCAAAATCAAGGACAACGTGCACGGCGGGGGGCAAGTGCAAGGTCCCACGGGACGGGCAGGCAGCAAGTTCCACGCAACCGTGAGCTGTCGGGGGGGAGACTGGGGCAAGAGTCCGCAGGACTGACTTGAACAGCTAGCAGAGCAAACAGGGGCAGGCAGCAGGAGCGTGGGGTGCTGCCCTCGACCCTACAGCAGCCCAAAGCCTGCAGGAGACACACAACGCTGACAGGCACCGAGGGCAACCTGCCCTGGGGATGCAGGAGAACACACCGGCAAGTGCGAACGTGCAAACCCAGGGGCAACCTGGAGCAGCCCCCCCATGTGAGGATGGAGCAGGGAGATGCAGGCAGGCTCCACTTGCCACCCAGCCCTGGACCCGGCCACGTCCTCACCCTTCAGGTCTGTCAGCGTCTCCCCCAGCTGCTTGAGCACCACTGCCTTCTCCTCCAGCTCCTGCACAGGGATGAGCCGGTGGTTGTGGGCCAAATCCTTCTGGATCTTCTCCACCGACTTCTCCAGGTCACTGTGAGCACAGAGGCAGGGCAGGGGTGTCACTGCTGCTCCGGGATGCTGGAGACCCCCAGGGGGTGGTCAGCCTGGCAGGTCCCCCCGCAGCACAGGGGAGAGGACAGCCGGGCTGGGGACCCCTCCTCACGCTAGACATGCAGTCAAGGCTGTGGCCTGGCACTGTGCAGAGCTGCCGATTTACACCCATGGAGGGTCTGACCCATCAAGATCAGCGTGCAAGGACCCCCTCCCCACTTGCGTGCCCAGCCCTGGCTCACTTGAGCTGCTGGGTGATCAGCTCCTCCTCGTTGAGGTAGCGGAGCCGTTCCTCCTCCACCAAGCTGCGCTGGCGCTGCAAGGGGTCCTCGTGTTTGCGCATGGTGTCCGTCACCCGCACGCTGATCTCCGTCTCCGTCCGCCGCAGCATCGTCTTCACCGTCTCCTGGTTCTGCAGCTGCAGGGATGAGGAGGGGGGGATTCAGGCTGGGCAAGATCCCCCCCGTGGATGGGGACCGGTGTGGGTGCAGGGCTGGACACTTGTGGGGACAGCTCCGAGCTCGGCGTGGGGAGGGATCCCCTCGTTCTCCCACACCCAGTCCCATGCAAAGTCACCGGGAAAGGGGGATCTTCCTGCTCTGGTGCTGGACTCACCCCAATAAGAGCTGGGCTAGGTTGGGGACCCCCCCCCTCACCGTACCCACCTGCAGCTTCTTGAGCTGCTGCAGCTGGTTGCGGAGGTCGCTGGCGTTCTGCTGCAGGTCGTGGAGGTGCAGCTGCATGTGCAAGCGGGTGATGGCAGTGGGCTGCCCCGCCGGCGTGCTGGTGGCGGAGGGTGGCGGGGGCGCGGGCACCGGTGTCCCCATGCCGCTGCGGCTGGTGGCTGCGGGGAGGGCAAGCAGAGGCTGCTGAGAGAAGGTAGCCCACCCCGGGGGAGGTTGCAGACTGCTCCTCTGCTTTCCCGGGAAAGACCTCTCTTTCCCCACCCTGTCCTTCAGTCCAGCAGTTCTGGGTGGTCTACCCATTGCCCCCACACTGGTTCCAAGGAGAGGTCACCCCAGAGATGCCTCTTAGTGGGACTGGGGGGTCCCACTCTGCCAGCTGCAGAGCCCCCTCTCCTGTGCCCACCCTGGGACTCCCAGCAGCCGCGGGGCAGAGGGAGAGGGTGTTGTGGGGCAAAGGGCTGGCTCTCCAGTCACTTACATGCTGATGGGGGGGTCCCGCCGTTGGTGGCTTCTGTCTTCTCGCTGCAATGAAAGAGAGGAGGGGAGTGAGCGTGGACCCGGCACCTCTGTCCTCACCGGCTCAGGGCGATGCAGGGGCACGGCGGGGGCTGGTGTCCCCCAGGGAGGGGAGGCAGGACCCCCCAGCCTTGGCAGCAAACAGCCCAGCTGGAAGCATCCCACTCCCCGTGGGAGACCCTGGGGTCCCACCCCTACCGTCCTGCTCCTTACCTGGGGGTCTCGGCCTCGGAGCCACGGAGCAGCGCGCTCTGCACCAGCCCCGTCAGGCTGGCGATCTGCTTCTCCATCGCCTCCATCCTCTCCCTGCCATGGGGAAGGGAGAGGGGCCAGGTGAGGAGCTGGCTCCGGCACCACGGACACCCTTAGGCTTGTCCCAGCCTTACCTGCACCCACCCACCAGGTCCCTGCAAGTCCCAGGAGGGACGTCAGGGAGATGGCAGCACTGCTGTCACCAGCTATATCCACCCCCTTCATTCCCTCTCTCTTCTTGCCTCCAGCTACCCCCAATCGCTCCCCTCAGCCCTGCACAATTTGGTGCTTCATTACCCATCCTGGCACCTCTACCGCCGTGGCGACAGGGCAAAACCTTCCTCCACTCTTCCTCTACCTCCCCAGCTGCACTGACGGACAACCATCCGAGCAGCAAAGTTCACATCCACGGGGGAATTTCTCCCGCGCCCCTTCTTACCTCGTTTCCGTATCCTTAGCTGGTCCAGGGGAGCCGAACCCCGAGAGCGGGCGATCGCTGGGGCCGGGAAACAGCTCCGGAGGACCAGAGGAGCTGGGATTGCGTGGCTTGTTGACGGGGCTTTCCATGAAGACGGAGGAGCAGGAGTCCTTGCGGAAGGACTGACGGACGGGTGAGGAGCGGCTGGGGGGTCCCGAGTAGGGGCTGTGCGGGCTTTGCCCTGGCTGCACGTCCACCAGCCGACCATCAGCCATCTTCTGCGGGGAAGAGGGGGGCATGCGGAAACCCAAGCCGGGTCCATACGTGTCGCTGTAAATGGGCGCGTTGGGCTTGTACAGGCTGTCCTCCAGCTCCGTCTGCAAGGCGGCCGCCGAGTAGGTGCTGAGGGAGCGAACGGACCCCCGCTTGTACAGCCCCCCCGAGTAGCCAAAAGGGTCTCCCATGCCAGCCAGGGACTGGGTGGAGGTGATGCTGAGCCGGCCCTCATGCACCATTCCGTAGGGATCGGCGTACAGCCCCTCGTTCTTCACCAGCACCACGTTCTTGCCGGCCAAGTCCTCGTCCGGCTTCACATCCCGGCGCTCCAGGATGGCGCTGGGACTGGGCGAGACGCCCTGGGCAGGCGGCAGGTTGGAGAGACGCTCGCTGTGATGGACGGGGCTGCCGGCGTAGGAAGGTGGGCGGCCCCCGCTGTAGGACATGCGGGAACGGGACGGCGAGGAGGACTGGAGCACTGGCGGAGGGGAGCCCGAAGTGAGGTGGGAAGCCGGGGACATGTTGTTCAGCCGGCGGGTGGGAGACGATTCCCTGGAGGTGTACACCATCTCCCTCTGCGGAAAGGGGCGGCGGGGTGGAGGGTCAGCACCGCATCCCTACGGGCTGGCCCCCCTGCCCTTGCTGTGCCTGGCTGGCACCCTGCCTTGCTGCACCTCTCCAAAGACCAAGGTCTGCAGATTCTGCATCTTCACCTGGCCTTGGCAAAAGACAGCTCCCTCATTCCCACCCAGGAGTGCGATGATTTATTCTGATGAATCCCCTAATTATCATGTTTATTACCCTGCTGTCAGGCCCCAAACATCCATTCTCTTAAAGTAACACTTAACAACGCTGGAACCGGGCAAGATAAATCACAGTCATTACTCCTTCCACAAACACGTGCAATTACCAGTCCTTGTCTCCATCGCTTTCTCTCTTTACTGGTCCCAGCCCGCTGAGTGCACCCACACCGCAGGCTCTCCCTGTGACACCCCATTCCCCCTTACCCTTAGGTCGCCATTGGTGATGTGCGAGGCTGGGAACGAGGCGTAGAGCGGCTCTTTCCTGTAGATTTTAATGATACTTCTGTCCTGGATATCACTGAAAGAAGAGGCAGAGCCATGAGCATCTGGGACAGGCAGCCACCGAGCCCCCAGCAAGTCCCAGCCACAGGACTGCACCTTCTGCTTTCATCCCACTAATTTCCTCGCTCTTCATGCTCTTAAAAAAAGGAAAATCAATCTGTGGTGGATTTCTGAGCCCCCCCCCACCCTCACCGGACATCCTCCAGCTCATAGAAGACATTGCGCGACTCGTCCTTGATGAGGATGGCAGTGTTGGGAGACTTCAGCATCCCCATGGTGAGCTTCTGGGGGAACATGTGGACAATGAGGGCGTGCAGAGTGTCCATGCTGCTGATCTCGTGGGTGATGTGGACGCGCCTCGTCTCATCCCCAAACTGCAGGAAAAGGACCCCTGGAAGCAGAAGGAGCAGAAAGTGGTGAGGTGTGCCTGCACCCCTTCTCCATGCAACGCCAAAGATGCACTGAGGTCAGCGATGGAGGTTTGCCCACCTCCACGGAGGTCTCTGTGCGAGGGCACGGGGACCTCTGGCCACTCAACCTCACCCTGGACCAGCGAGGCCAAAGGCAGCTCATCCTCCTCGGCCACGCTGCACAACGTGCAGTGCCTCCCGCTCCTCCTGGGGTTATTTGGGCAGATACAAACTGATCCCACACCCGGCACACGCCGGCATCCAGCCGTGGAGGTGGGCAGAGATGTTTGGCGGTGGCCGGGCAGGTACGTGCTGCCCGTCCCGGGGAGGGGGATGCCGAGCCCTGAGGGTACCTGGCGATCGCAGCTTCGTCTGGCTGGTGGAGCGGGATAAGGGCAAGCTCTGCCGGAACCGGTTCATCCTGTTGAACCCCAGGGGCAGCTCTGCTTCCGACATGGTTTCCAGGGATTCGGCCGAAGCGAAGGAGAGTTTGGCTTGATCGGCCAAGCCGGGCTGGGAGCCCTGGGAGTGTCGGGAGCTCCTCGTCTGGAAGGGGAGAGGAGAGAGGTCAGAGGAGAGCTGCGGTGGGTACCCCAGCCCCGGTCTGCTCCCCTGGACGCAGCCATGCGCTGCTCCCGCGTTTCCTCCCGCGTTTCCTCCGGAGGTCGGTGCTGGGATGGAGCGGCTCAGGTGAGGCTAAGCCGCATCCAGGGATGCTCATTCCTGGATCCCCAGCTGAGTCAGCACACCAACGTGGTCCAGATACAGTGCCAGCTGGAGGCCTCTTCCATCTCCTGCTCTAAGCATGTACAACCATTTACAGTGCCCTTGCCTCCTGCAATTGCTCACTCATGTTTTCTGCTTCAGGCTGGCAGCACGCTGCATTTCAAAGCCTCCCGGTGCCGTTCCAGGCGCCTTTGAGTTCCCCCAGCGGCAACCCACTCAAAATAAAACCAGCGCTAGCTAGCTGGTGATGGAGCCAGGGCTCGTATGCAAGCACTGGAATAACCTTAGCAATTACAGGAGGTTACACATCCATTACACCAATGAACCAGCTCCTGGGAAACATAAATGCCCGCCTTATTCTGGAAGCAAAGCAGCGGCAAGGTTTATGGCTGCTTGAGTCGGGGGAAAGTAATGGGTTTGGGTTTATAGCGGTAAAAATTTAATATGCCAGGAGTCCAATTTCACATGGCCGAGCGTATATCCACTGCATAGAAGTTCAGGCTACAGACGTGGGCTTTCTGCACAAACATGGCCAAACACACAGCCGAGTCCCCTTGCCACAGGTACCCGCCCGGCAGCGGAGCAAACGCTGCCTGTCAATACCCCGAAATACAAGGCTTGATTTTCCAGACGCGCATTTAACGTTGGCAAATCAAACCGAGAGAACAAACAGCTCCTGGGGTGTGGAAAAGGCGGCATGGAAGGGACAACAGCTCTATTTTAAGACCAAAAAGAAAAATCAATATGAAATGATAACAGCCATCATCATCATTTAAATTAGACATTAATTGGAAGATTTAATTAATCCTGCGGGGCGGGGTTTTCTAGGACTTGAAATGTTCTCACTGTAGCTAATTGCTGGAAAATTGACTGCTTAGTTTTGTTGTTGTTTTAGCACAAAGCACGCTGGCAGCGCAGATGCTTGAAATCTTACATTAAGAAAGGGAAGCGGGGCAGGACTGAACGTGGGCCAGCGCATCCCCCAGCCCCAGCCACAGGGGGCTGATGGCGGGGGGCTTCGCAGCGGGTAAGGAAACCGCAGTGAGCAGAACGCAATGGAGACACCAGTCTCCTCTCCCCTACGGTCCCAGTGTGCAGGTCTTTGGGGCATAGCAGCTGGTTTTTTGGGGCTCCCTGCCCTTGCACAGCCCCGGGAAACCTTGAGGGCTTGCGGTCCCCCATCTCTGGCTGTCTTGCTCTGGGTTTGCGGTGCTGCCCCCCCTCCCAGCTCCCAACCCAGGATGGATCCTTGGCCACAGGGAAGCACAGGGATGGGGCAGGCAGCACGTGGCCAGGATGCGACCCACGCTGCCAGGGCTGCACCTTAGCCTGGCTTTGCCCTCCTGGCAGCCCTTTCCTCTCCACTCCTTCCCCTGCTCCGTGCCAGCGGGGTCTCACCCTGCCCTGTCTCCATCCATCCCTCTCTGCTCCCCCCACCCAACTCCCCCCCCCAGCCAGAGCCCACATCTGGGCTGGGCTTTGACAGCCCTCGAGCTTTCACACGGGATGACAAAAGGTGGCTGGCTCACAGCCCCCCCTCCCCAGGATGCGTTTTGTCTGGAGAAAATAATCATAAGAAAAAAATTGATTTACCCGACAGGGGGGGATCGCTGCCTCCCCCTCCCCGTGGCACGACAGGATGGCTGAGACCGCGTTGCCACGTAGCATCCTTGTTGCTACGGGCTGCTGCAGTGTGCGTGCCTCCGCGCGTCACCCCAACACGCTGCAGTCCCTACAGCCCCTATAGCACAGCACCATAATGAACCACGGTCCCTACAGCCCCTATAGCACAGCACCCTAATGCACTGTGGTCCCTATAGCCCCTATAGCACAGCACCCCAACGCACCACGGTCCCTACAGCCCCTATAGCATAGCACCCCAATGCACTGCAGTCCCTACAGTCCCTATAGCACAGCACCCTAATGAACCGTGGTCCCTACAGCCCCTAAAGCACAACACCCTAATGAACCACAGTCCCTACAGCCCCTATAGCACAGCACCCTAATGCACTGTGGTCCCTATAGCACAGCACCCCAACGCACCACGGTCCCTACAGCCCCTATAGCACAGCACCCCAACACAGTGCAGTCCCTATAGCCTGTGGGAGCGTGGTGGTGGGAAGAGCTGGCTGCTCCAGGTGAGCCCGGACCCCTCCTGCCTTCTGCCTCTGCCCTGGGGTTGCAGCTGACCTCAAGTAATTAAGCTCATCTGATGGAGCTAATTATGGCATCAGTCAAAAAAAAAAAAAAAGGAAAAAAAGGGCAAGATGGAAATTAATGGATTTTTAGCCTGGAAGGGACTGTTCTAGCCTGATGCTCAGCACAATGTGCTCTCCCGGCCCGAGCAGGGACCCAGCGGCCCCACAAAGCCCTCGCTGGCACCAGGGCAAGAGCCACACACCCCCCTCCCCGGCACCCCTTGCCGCAAGGCACCTCCGTGGGCACGGGACCCTCCGCTCCTGGGCACGGGACACCCACCCAGGGCCAATACAGGATGCTGGCGAGCTGGAAAGGACCGACCCTGCGGTGTGAGGGGGGGGGACACGACTCTAAAAGTGCTATGGGGGGGTGTCTCTGCCATTTCTCCCCTGTGGCCATTTCGGCCACATCGGCTTTGCCGGGGGGTGCAGCTGCGGGACCCGGGCGCCCACTTTGCCTTGCAGCCGCAGCGGGGAGTCGAGATGCTCGGCGAGGGGGGAGCGCAGCGCCTGCTCCGTCCTTGGCCTCCAGCAGGCCATTAATGAGCTGACTCCAAGGGAGTTGTTTTTTATTGCTCTGCCTCACTAATGACTTATCCTGGTATAAAATAATACGTTAACTGACAACTCAGCCCCCACACATCCTGCGTCCCGCCCCTGCCGCTGGCTGGTGCCGACGTGGCACGGCAGCCCACGGCAGCCCACAGGACGGCTCCACTCCCCCCCCCAACCCAATTCGCAGCACTCACAGCCCTCCCACGGAATAGGTGGGACCCAGTCGCAGTCACCGAGGCCGTGGCTCACCCCGAGCGCGGTGGGACCTGACGCTTTCATGCAGCTTCATCCATCACCGTGGAGTCTAAAATGGGTGCCCAGGATCCCTGCTTCGTTGGAGATGCTTTGGTGGGGGCCCAATCCTGCCTTGCTGGGTGCTACCCTGGAATGAACAGTGCCTGGACCTGTCTGTGCCAGCATCTGCATCGACAGAATGGATGTCCCCTGCTGTCACGGGGGAACATGTCACCCCAGCGAGTGCTGCCCCAGGCTGGAGGGGGAGACATGGGGCTGCGGGTGCTACCCCGGTCCTGGGGGTCTGCAAGGCTCCGGCTCCCTGGGTGCCTGCCAGGGCCAGTCCTCAGGGTGCATGGGCTGAGCTTTCAATCCGATGCAGGATGAAAATAAACATCTAACCCTCGCCACCGTCTCCAGAAGGGAAAGGGTATTCTCTGTTTGCCCAGGCCATATCACACACCGCAGCTGTGGAGGAGATATCAAAGTCTGCAACAATCAAGTACCATGCGCGCAATAACGATTGTAATATCCTCCTGCTTTGGGAGCACCTTCCATCCCCAAATCCTCACCTTCCCTCCTGCCTGCTGCGTACCAAAGCCCCCAGTGACCAGACCGTGGCGAGGATCAATGCTGGCACCCACGCACCCACCTAGGGCACAGCTCTGCACGCTGCAGGGAGGTGACCAAAACCCACCTGGGACCCCCAGCCTGGGAGCAAAAGTGTTTTGCCCCCTCCCCTTCTCAGTTATGCCCCCCCAGGGGCAGTTTTACCCAAGCCCAGACCCCCACACGAAGGACTCGGTCTCCTGCAGCTTCAGAAGAACCCGACGTCTCCTGTGGGCACCGAGAACTTTCCCCGCGGCATCCGAAACCCACCCGCGGTGGCAGCGAGGGGCTAGAGGGGAGGGGACGCAGCTCTCCCGCTTTGCTGTCCCTGCGCCGCAGCAATGCCATGCTGGGAGATGACCCACTTCTTGCTGAACTAGCGTCACAGCACAGGGTTAATATGATGCCTGGCTGATTTCTGCCACGGTGACGTGTGCTGGGAGCCCAGGTCAGGGTCAGGGGCAGCAGCAGCATCTCCCCTGAGCCTGGGGTCCCGGTGCCTGCCCCCCACCACGGTTCGGAGCATGGGAAGCAGCAGGTTCACAAGCAGAAGGCGAAGGAGTGCAGCTGCCCAAAAGCAAAACAAAAGCTGCCCAAGGCCACGGGACGGCGGTGCGGGAGCTCCAGCCCCAGCTGGCACTGTGGGTGGGAAAGGTGTGGAGCAGCTCACTTTTGGGAGGACAGAGCTGTGGCCGATGGGGTGATGAGCACCAGGCTCAGGGTGACTGCAGCCTGCCCTGGGGAAGAAACCTGCTCGCTATCTGCCAGGGAGAGGTTTGAAGCCCCTGGGAGCCTCCTGTGTGCTAGAGCGGAGGAAATCTCGCTGGTGCAGAAGCACCGGCGAAGCTTCGCAAGCTGGGAGTGCATCATGGGTGCTATTTTGGTGGTTTTCCCAGTGAAAACCCACTCACAAAGCACCCGGCTCCCCCCAGGTCCCTCCTGAGGAAGGCAGCGGGAACATCCCCCCACGCCGGCGGGGACAGGAGCATCCCCAGCCCCTCCGCACCTCCCTGGGAGTCTTATATAAAAGAGGTGGGATGGGGAACGAAGGGAGACTTGGGGGCTTTTGTCTTTTATCTCGTCAGAGCTAAAAAAAGATACAATTAAGCGATTCTTTTAGCTCCTAAAACTCCAAACAATCCCTTTACTGTCAGTGCTGAAGCAGCTTCATTATATTTGCCTGGCTAGGTAAGGATTCTTCTCTCCTCCTTCTCTCCCCCTCCC